CCTCATCCTGCAGGCCACTATTGATTATAACTGTGAAAATTTACTAACAAAATACCATAAAATAAGCTACACAAGCACTAATCGTTTCATCTCAAACGTTATATTTTGTAAACCTAACTCTTATACTCATACGCACGAATAATAACCAATACAAATATCCATTGTACATATAAAGCTAGTAATAAAGGAACACACGCAGCATACAGTCGCTCTTATTTGAGTTCCGGGCATAAAACAATATAATATTTTTTACATGGTGCTGAAACCCGGGAACACAGTGTCTGTCGTTATTCTAAAATTAATGAGGTTGATTAGACATATATAATCGAGACGAAATAACTCATGGGCGTGTTTCAGTTACTCAAGGCGTTGATTAAATATATAATCAAAAAGATGGATCCCGCTTGTAGATCGACATGCAGAACACAACTAACCAAGTTGTGTAATAATATCGACAAGTACCACAAGGTGGCCAAGGATGGCGATATCGGCTCGTCAGGCCATTTCCACTCACAATGAGAGAGGCCTTGAAAATGAGCGACAAATGGAAGGCAACAACAGTTATAAGAGCTTCACTAAATTAAAGCCAATCGAGCTAAAGAAATTCAACGGATCTTTCGAAAATTGGATACCCTTTTGGGAGCAGTTTAAAATAGCAGTGCATGAAAATAGATCGTTGGATGCAGTCGCAAAATTTAATTATTTAAATGATGCTCTAACAGGTGAAGCAGCCGCAGTTCTTGAAGGATTTATTCCGTCCGAAACATGCTACAAAGATGCCGTCGAGCTGCTACTCGAAGAGTATGGAAGCACAGAGAAAATAATTGAGAGGTATGTGCAAAAATTGTTGAGTGTGAAGGTCGTCCAGGCAAACAATGACGTAAAGGGTCTGCGCCAACTATATAATGAAACGCAGGCAACAATCAGAACATTAAAGGCACTCGGAGTTTCCACGTCTCAATATGAGATTATGGTTAGTTCACTTCTTCTAAAATCAATTCCAGTTGGCATGCGCATAGAATATCATAGAGTACGCAAACGAGAGGAGCTCTCGCACAAAGCGCTCACACAGTAGGCATTGAGTTGCGAGAAAAGATATTGCGTAGTAAGGGAAGCTGTTTCAGGTGCGCTAAGCCAACTCATACGGCAAGATTTTGTAAAAATCAGCATTTAAAATGTTCAATTTGTAGCGGGCGGCACATTACAGCTATGTGCGATGGCAAGGCAAATCAGGAACAAGGCGGTGCACAAGAACAACACACAGAGACAGCGACACTCAGTACAATGGTGCAGAGCGTAAACAATGAGATTTATTTACAAACAGCCAAGGCGGTTCTTATAAGTGGTGAAATAAAGGTGTTGTCCCGTATTATAATGGATAATGGGAGCAAATGCACCTACGTGACGGAACGTTTAGCAAAACATTTAAAGTTGCCGGTCGTAGGTATGGAAAGAATTAGAATCGTCGCATTCGGCCAAACTGGTAAACAATCACGTGCAAAAAAGGGGAATACTTATAAGAGTACAAGTATATCCTAATTTTAAATTCAAATTTGGGTCTTTTCGCGCCTTATTGAGTCAATATGATCACGCATGAGCTCGGAATATGAAACACGGCACTCGTGTCAATGCCGTGCAGCGATGAGCCACGATCAAAAAGCACTGACAATTAGGGATGTAAAAAAACATCGATGTATCGAGCATCGACGATAATTTTACTACGATGCATCGATGTTTTCCAATGGTTTTTGGATAACAATGCATCGTCGATCCATCGATGTTTGTCCAAACATCGGGCCAACATTTGTTGGGCGGTCGCATTTCTTTGTGTGGTTTACCGAAGAAGGTATATTTTTATTAAAAATTATTTGTTGTTTTCATTAAAATGTGTATTTTGTAGTATACATTTTAGATTGTTAAGCATTTGATCTCCATTTTTTCATATATAATGTCAGACCAGAGAACTGCAACGAGTATGTTTGAGTGTGTTCAACCACCTTTGCTGAAAATTCAATCAAATCAGATCTTTGCTTGGCTGCTTATGATCGAACATGCATGAGCAATCTTTCTATTTTTACGAACAAGCACCGGTCTTGATTGGTTCGCTTTCAAACAGTTCAGGCTCGGTCACTTCGTTCAAGATGACTGGGTCCTGATCGAAACAAACCAGACTTTGCAGAATGCGTTATACTCGGGTATTACTCGAGTATTGCGCAGGTTTTACCCGAGTATTTCTCGAGAATTGCGCGGGTTTTACCCGAGTATGACCGTATAAAATATGCATTTATGTACATATTTATGTATTTGTGCGTGCATGTGTTGTTTGCAATTATGCGCAAACATGTATATATGTATGTACATATTTTAAATAAAGAGGTACAGAATGAAAAGAAAACATATGATGTATACATTTTTTTTTTATAAGTATTATGATATTTAGCACGATTTTATTTCTTAAAAAAGGAACACATCTTGAAATAAACAAATTAATATAAATTAAAATAACATAGCTTTTTTAATTTTAATAAAAAGGAAGGTTTTTTTTTTCGCCAATAGTTTTGTTGAATTCATTAATTTATATACATATACATCCTTGTATACGAAGTTACTATTGAACTAATAGCCAAAAAAAAACAATAGAAAATGCAAGTGCACGTGCACCCGCCGATATCATTGGTCATTTCTGTCATGATTGTAAATACGACGTTCGATCATTTCTTGCACGCAGCATAAAGTTTCGGTCACCGCCGCTCATTCTGAGTCTTTGCAGTTGTGATTCGAACTGAGTGTTCGTTGAGGGCTCGTTTGCAACCAGTCATTACTTGTCACTATACCCAAATGAAATAATCATACCGAGTATGGGTAAATACTCGAGTATGACCGAAAATGTAGTACTCGTTGCAGTTCTCTGTGTCAGACTTAATATGCTTAAAAGGCGTAACTAAAACGCGTCTTTGTTTTTAAAACTGTATTTTTTTAAGTTACGAGTACTTTTTTGATTACCAACATTAAGTAAAATAATATGAGAGTCTCTCTATTGATATATAAACATTTTTCATTTTAAAAATCTGTGTTGGTTTTCTCCTTAATATTAGCTTTTTTTCTTTTAAAGTTATTCTTTTAAAACATCGATGTTTTTTGCGATGCATCGACCATGCATCGATTTTTTATAAAGAGACATCAATATACATCAACATCGATGTTTTTCCTTCGACTTACATCCCTAATGACAATGCCCATCTCAATTTCCCAGAGTAAAACTTTGGATAGCTGAATCCACCCGTATTATCGATATCGATACATCGAAGTTTGAATGCAATAAACAGAATATCTAAGACAGGATTTATATGTTGATGAGCGGTTGCACTTGTTGGTGCAATTGTTGATAATTGTAGTTCTGTTAACTTGACGAATTGCGTGTAATGGAAATGATCAATATTGTCCTCAGATTTTGAAGCATTATATAATTCAAACAAGATGCGCACCCATTCTCAAATAATGTTTGTACGGGGCAGTTTTATTGTTGAAATACTTCCAACATGTTCTAGTAACAATTTTTGCCCCCTTTCTAAACAGCGCAGAAGGCAATAGTTGTTTCGATGATGAGGACATCGGCATCATATCTGGGTTGTTTTGTTGTGATAATAACAGTTTTAAATTTCTCAATAAGCATATCAATAATTTTTTTTTGTTGCATCGATTTGATAAAAACTTTTCTTGGCTAAATTTTGCAATCATTGTTAGGTCAAAATAATCTTAATATGCTTTTGAAAATAAAGCAGTTTTTATTAGTTGTTCCATTGCTTTAATATTTTTACTATAATCTGAGATCCGTCAAATACAACAACAATTCTGGAGCCATAAATTTTTTGTAAATATTTAATGTATTTATCTAAAATAACGGTCAAAGTATTGTCTTTGCCCCATATGCCGCGATATACCATCGATAATGTATGTATGTTACGTTATTTTCATCAACATCGATATGGACAGGTATCACATTATCATACAATGCCGCTTTCGTGGTTTTTCTCATGCCATTACTATCAAATAATGATGTCGGATACGGACTTAGTTCATATTGAAGATATTCTGTGGATCTACAGAGACTTTGCAATCGTTAATATTGACAGATTTGTTAACAGCTAAAAGCGCCAAAACCTTATCAGCCTGTTTTAACTTTATCTCATTAAAATTCAATATGGATAACAATAGTTATCCATAGATTATAATCCGATTTTATGGGCTCTGTGACAATTAATTTGGTCATTCCCAACTGGTCTGTATTGAAGAAGAAGACGATACCTAAATGCGACATCTGCCAGTAAAAAGCTAGTTCGAAATTCCAAGAATTACGGGAGTTACGATTTGTGGGGGAGAGGGGGGAGAGAGGGAAATTCCAAAATTCACAATTTCATAAGGCATCTTGGACTAAAATTTGGTGTCCCTAGGTCTTACAGTCTCCGAGATATAGGCGATTATACGAATGGAAAATCGGGAAAATCCCCATAGGGGGAAGTGGAGGGGGGGGGGGCAGGAATCAAAAAAATAAAACAAACTTGCACAGCGTACACATATAACACATCTTTGTGCGATATTTGGTGTGTCTACCTCTTATAGTCTCTGAGATCCAGGTGTTCATACGGACAGACGGACAGGGCTAGATCGAATCGTCTCGTCATGCTGATCAAGAATATATATACTTTGTGGGGTCTGCCACGCCTCCTTCTGCCTGTTACATTTTCAGCTCCCGCAAACCTAATATACTCTGTATATTTCATGTACAGAGTATAATTAACAAAAATTGGTGAATGCTTACATATTATATACAAGTATACTAATATATTATATATATATTAACAATTAATTAAATTCCATGACATGTGAGAGAGCTAGCAACGACTTGTGCATGCAGCTCAACCAGAATACGTCAGGGTAAAGCTTAATTCACATACTTCAAATATGAATGGAATTAATGGAAAACAAATGTATATAAATACCTTAGTCCAATTAAATGGTACAAAAAACATCCAATAGAAACATACAGTAAAAAGAATAATACTGCTATATATCCATACATTAGTTGCGGTTATGGTGTTACATATAAAATGCAAGTAGTCGGGTTCCATTATGTGCTCATATAGCAAGTGAGAAATCTGTATTGGGAACATCGATAACTCGCTTAGTCCGTTTTCTAATAGGAATTGAAATGAAATAATTGTTATAAATATTTTTAATTTGTAAATATTCATGTTAAAAATTACTTTACTAAAACTCGAATATATTTTCTGTTGTGTATCAGGCCGCGTATATTTCCAGAATGTGTTACAATTCAAAATGTGTAGCTAAAGGGCACAAGATCAATGTGACCAGGTGACACTTTTACAATAATACTTAACAAGGTATCGAATACCTAACATGCCTCTCCTTAGCTTTGTCATAACACTCAATAAAATATATACATTTGCATTGATACATGTTTAACATTATGATATATTTAACAATTAACAAAACAATTATTCATGGAGTTCAATAGAGATTTCATCATAAATTCAGGTCTAAATTCAACTTAATACATTTCATTTTGTTTTCTTAATTGCAAATATTTGATTCATAAGTTTCATTTTCTATTTTTAATTTTTAAGTGGAAGGCTTAACAACCTTTCCCTCTATACGTGGTCTTAGCTGTCTTCTGGTTGGTGTTGGTTCAGAAGGAATTACAGTGTCATTTTGACTTTTAGTTTCACTTGAACAATCACTTTCGATTTGATTATCTCGTTTTTCTGTTGCAATGTGTTTGCTTTCTTGATTTCTAATTTGATTTAAATGTCGTTTTATTTCACGATTGTTATGAGTTAAGATACAACAATAAGATCGAGGTCCCAATTGTTGGCTAACTGTTGCTTGAGTCCAACTTGCCTTGTTAGGATTTTTATAGTCCCTGACCATAACCTTTTGACCTTCTTTAAATCTTATGTCGCGATTACCTCTGTAACTCATGACACTATCCTCCTGCTTTTTGCTTATTTGATCATGTACAATTGGAGGTTTTAAAAACGAAAATCTGGTCTTTAGTTGTCTACCAAAGAAAAGTTTGGCTGGCGATTCGCCGGTCGTGCAATGAATCGTGTTTCTGTAATCTATTAAAAATCTATTCAGGATTATGTCAAAACTAGAATTGCTGTTAACTTTAATGCTTGCATTTATTGATTTTTTTACAGTCTTTACAAAGTTTTCAGCTTGGCCATTTGTCGCTGGATGACCAGGAGCTGTCAAAACATGCTTTCTGCCATTGTTGGCCATGAAAATGCGAAATTCCTCTGAAGTAAATTGTCTACCATTATCAGACACTAATACATCAACTAGACCATATCTACAAAATAATTCTCTTAAGGTTTTTATTGTAAACGATGACGTAATTTCCTTTGTTTTAAAAACTTCTACCCATTTAGAGAAAGAATCTACACATATCAATAAATAAAAATTATTTATTGGTCCTGCAAAATCTACGTGTATTCTACTCCATACCTGACCATTTGATTTCCACGGTATCAAAGTAGACTTTTCTGGACTTGGTTGTGATTCCTGACATGCGATACATTCTCTTATTAAATTTTCAATTTCTAAATCCATATTTGGCCACCATACGTATGAGCGTGCTAACATTTTTGTTTTCACCATTCCTAAATGAGATTTGTGGAACTCTTGTAAAACTTGATTCCTAAGTTTTGTTGGAACTATTACACGATGACCCCATAAGATACAATCGTACTCAACTGTTAGCTCATTTGCTTTATTTATGAAATTTGAGAATTCAGCCTTGTTTAATTTTTGTAGCGATCCAATTTTAATGGCTTCGCACACCTTTGAAAGGATTGAATCATGCCTTGTTTCACGAGCAATACTCTTGAAATTCAATTTAAACGGTATATCAGATTGAATGAAGTTAATATAATTGTATTCCTCACCTTCGTTTGATTTGTATAACTGAGGCATCCTTGAAAGTCCGTCAGCCTCAAAGAAATGAAATAATTGTTATAAGTATTTTATTTGTAAATTTTCATGTTAAAAATTACTTCACAAAAACTCGAATATATTTTCGTTTGAAGACCAGACTTGATTTAGGCTTTGATGTTTTTTAGTGTAACGGAAATCTGTAGTATTTAAATTGTTTTGAAGCACGATATACGTGTACGTATAAAATCATCAATGCAAAATGTTTTTACGCCATTCGAAATTGTATCAGAACAGCTAGTTTTTCTTTCCGCTATTTCTTTTTTTTTTTAGTACGAACATATTTATTTAATTTCAGCGAGTTTCAGTTCTTAGCATTGTGCATCTGAATACATCTGGAGATCTAACCTTTATTCGAACACACTACAACAAATGTAACACAGATTTCTATGCAAATATCCTATTCTTATGTGCATACATTTAGATGGCTTGGTATGATATGTAAATAATCTTTGAATGGGATGCAGAATATCGGTACTTGTGCATGTAGCAGAAAAGTAAATATATGGTGATTAAAAGCGTCATCGAATTCTAAGGCTAACATATTGAATGCACATGATGCGTTAATTTTCGTGAAGTAAATCAATTTAAGATAGCCTGCCTAATATTATTAATTTAAATACTTACAGTTTGTTAGGAAATAATTCAATAATCAATGTAAAAATTAAATATGACCTAAGTACATGGTACTATATTTTGTTGTAGGGGGTGCATTAAAAAAAGTCGTACTGCGTATACATATAAGGCATCTTGTTCTTATAGTCTCTAACTCTTATTATCTCTGAGATCTAGGTGATCATAAGAACAGACAGAGCTAGATTAATTCGTCTTGTCATGCTAATCAAGAATATATGTACTTTGTGAAGTCTGACACGGACCCTTCTACCTGTTACCTTTTTTACCTCCCGCAAACCTAATATACTCTTGTACGTTTTAGGTACAGAACATTACAAGTGGAAAAGGTAAGACCGGAGCCCCGACTTCGAAATAATCTTCACCTTAGTGTAGAAATAAAAAAAAATTAACATTATCTTAAAATAAACTTATGTGGATGATAGTAGTGGGGAATTATGTTTTTATTACGTGTACAAACTGTTTAACCTTTCTTAACATATGTTATTTTATTAACAATTTTTCTAAAAACGGTTACTGCTTTATACATTACACATTTATAGCACTCGATTTGCGAAAATACAGTTCAATTAGAAAATGTTCATGCGGAAAGTCTGCAGAATTGAACGGTTTGAACGGTTTTTGAACGGAGTTATCGCTTTAGCCTTCTGAATCTCTATATATATAAAACAGTTTGTCCTGACTGACTGATTGGCAATCAACGCCCAGCCCAAACGGTAAGACCTAGGAGGCTGAAAATTGGACACATGTTGTCTTCAGTGGTGTAGGTTTTGGTAAATTCGAACGCCAAAGGGGGGAAAACGTTTGTAGGAAAAATCTAAAATTTTCATCCAATTAACTTCAAACTTAGTTTATGTACTCTCAAAAAGAATACAAGAAAAACTGTATACTTGGTTTTTCACCATTTTTCCTGGGGCATGAAAAAAGGGGAGTTTTCCGTGGAAAAATTGAAACACAATCAACACCCCACAGCCCAAACGGTAAAAGTAAGGAAAGTGAATTTAAGGCTCAAGTATCCTGTCATAATGTAGGTGCTCACTAAGAAGGGTTTTTGGAAAATTCGAGCTCCAAAGAGAAGAAGTCGAGGTCCAAAGTTGGTTTTAAAGTTCTGCATTTCTGAATCGATCAACTTTAAATTTGGTTTTTATAATCTATAAAAAAATACAAACAAAACTGTGTTGGAGCTTGAATTATTGGGGTTTTAATATATATTCATTTTTTCAAATGAAATGTTTGTGTTATAAATTTTGTCCGATCGATTTCAAATTTGGGTAATATAATCTACGTAACTAAAATTACAACTTTGCATTTAACGATTTTTAAAATATGCATTTTACAAGTGCAGGCAGAACAAACAATACAAAATATCAAACAGTTGGGGACAACTAAGTATACAACACACACACACACACACACATGCAAGCAGCTGTTCGTGTAGTTGCGTGCAAACGATTGAAATAGCCAAAGCAAAATGTGAGACACTAATGTGTGAATGTTCATACATATGTGCACATCTATGTATTTACATATGTATCTACATATGTGTGTATGTACATTCGTCTTGCACTGACAGAGCAAGAAATGTTAATTAATTGAAAATTATATAACATTTTTAAAAGTAATTTTTTCTTTGTTTAGTGCATTTGGCATTAGGGTTTTCATTAATAACTTTATGCAGCAACAACAAATATCAAATAGTTGGGGACATCACATACACACACTCACACACACAACAAGCAACAGTTCGTGTCTATGTGTGCGGTTCTCTACGTACGGTTGAAAAAGTAAAGAGAAACGTACTTGTACATATGTATGTATGTATGTATGCCTGTGTATGAATATAGCATGTATGTACATTCGTATTAATGTATACATTGGGCAATCGAACACAGTTGTTTGATTGTAAAAAAATAATGCTCCAAAAACAACAACAACTGCAAGTCATTGGCTCGCTCTTCTTCTTTCGTTTTGACCATTTAATGTTAATTGCAAAGACAAAACGCCAAAAATTTATAGTTACCGTCGCTAGGCAACGACTGCGTAAGCGATAGTAAAGCAGAAACCGAATAACGGAGCTACGCATATTCTGCTTCGCATTGCGGGCAGATGTATGTATGTATATGATTTGTTCTTATTGATCTCAATAAATAATTAGATTTTATTATTTAAATATTCTGCTTATTGCATACAAACTTCAATATTTTGATGGTATCGGTGGCTTCAACTATCGAAAGTTTTACTCTAGCAAATTGAGATGACAATTGTCAGTGCTTTTTGATCGTGGCTCATCGCTGCACGGCATTGACACGAGTGCCGTGTTTCATATTCCGGGTTTGTGCGTAACCGTATTGACTCAATATGGCACGAAAAGACTCAAATGTGAATTTATATTAGGATACACATAGTCTATCTTAAAACGTTGCGTTATCTCTATATATAAAACAGTTTGTCCTGACTAATTGGTGATCAACGCACAGCCCAAACGGTAAAAGATGAAATTTGGACTCAAGTATCCTTTCATAGTATCCATCATAGTGTAGGAGCACACTAAGAAAGGCTTTTGGAAAATTCTAGCTCCAAAGGGGGGAAAACGAGCTTTAAAAAATATTAGTTATAGTGGTCATGTTTGGCAAGAACAAAAATGTAACGGACTACTGAACAATTTTTTGTCAAGAACAGAAAATGTTCATTTAAATACCTTAAATGCCTTCCTACTGGTAACTTATAAGGTGAAAACATATGGGTATGTTATGCACACACAAAATAAATACAATTGGAAACATTATATTGAGCCGGGTTAAG